CGTGTGCCACTTTTTTGTTCTTACCACATTTTGACGTCATCTGTGATCTATTCCAGTCGCAGGAAGTACATTTTTAGTTCAGTTCTTTGTCTAAAAAATTTTCACTTCGCTACTCTTTGACAAAGCGCTGTCTTGGGTTCTTTCAAATGTCAAAGTGTCCTTGCAAGTCCAAAAATAAGTCGGAAAAAATGTTTTGGGTGAAATGCAATTTACAGAAATGAGTTTGGCGATTTTTCTTCTGTATTTGGCAGTATTTGACATGTAGATTACGTCTGTTATATGAATAAGGCTGGAATACAAATGTACGTGACTCTCAACCCAGGCGTATACTTAATTCATACCTATTATTCTACGCTACATAAAGAGAAAAAAAATGAAGACAATAGTTCATTGAAGTGTCACCTTAGGGAAAAAATACAGTCAGTTATTGGCTGTTTTAAATCCGCAATATTCATAAATACCAACGCTACCATCTACTTACCACAGTTGTTATTCCACCTCCCAGGGTGTAAACTGCTTCTGGTCAGTTCATAGCTCCGATCGAAGGTGAGTGGGCCCGTTTATTGACTTATAGGAATTGATGTATAAAGTATTTTCATTAATGTTTGTGTTTTGTAAATTACAACTTTCATGAATCATTTTTCCAGTTATAACTAAATCTACCTGAGTTTATTTTGCTGTAAATAGGTTGATTCATTCGATGCGGTTGTAGATATAACTGGGTGTAGAAGATGTTAAAATTCCACTGACCTTTTTGGCAGCTGAAGTCTAAAATTTCTTGATAACGTATATCTTACGGACAGCCAGTGAGACGCTTTTCCAATGTTTCACAGGGCCTTGACCTTCGAATTCTGCCAAACACAAAAAAAAGCATATGACAGCACATTCAGAAAAATTGAATTTGGGCTATGTTGCACGTGATGAAATCAAAGTTTAAAACAAAAATATGTACATTTTTTGTAATGTCTTTTTTCCATAAATTCTTCGCGTGAATTTTTCCCCGCTTCATCGCTTGGTTTGAATCGATCGAAGCTGGCAGGTTGCAATTTTAATTTCAATTTGAGTCATTTAAAGGGCTTGTAGAACAGTTGTTTCAATTGCACATTTTTCTTTTTCAATCATCTGTATTTCTTTTCATTTAAAAAGACATAAGAGAACTAAATAGTTTATAGGTAAAAATTCACAAAGTAAGACGAGTCTTTTCAAAATCATTCAATTGCTCCCTGTAACACCGCCCTTGGTCGTAGACATTCACAGATGATGCCATGCGTAATAGGCTATTTCCGAGTTGCCTTTTGCCTCCGTTTAAAAACGAGTCCAAGTGCGAAACCATTCAAATGAAAATTAGTTTGATTTACATGAAAACGGGCATGGGATCGAGTGAAACGTATTATCATTTGAATGGTGCACGTAGACTCGTCTTGAAACAGAGGCAAAAGGCTAACATGGTTTTGCCTTGCTATTTTCCACTTCACTACACACGAATAATAAGCCCCTGCTAATTTAACTTGATGTCGCCACCAGTCCAATATCAACAATTGCCACCTGAGAGCTAAACCAAAATATGAAGCTGTGATTTATAAAGTGGACCGATAGTTCACTATATATAGACATACAGTTTGTATTTGACCTATGAAATTTCTTTGCCTGAAAAATAGGTTCATTGACTGCCAAGAAACAGCAGGCTTCAAGTCCTGAGACAACAAAGGCCACATACAGACAGTGAGCAATTTCAGTGTCAGTTATGAACGCGAATATTTTGGTTGGTATAGCATTCATAGTCGCCTGCTATGGTGCAGTTTCAAGGTAAATTTTCTTTCGAGTACTCAAAATATTCCTTGTTTTAGTAGAGAGCTTCCAACACGTCATTTTGGCAACTAACTCTTCGATTTATAAAACAAGTACTAATTTTTTAATCTTATCAATCTGATCACTTTTTTTGAAATTCTATTAAAATTAATTCTGAAATAGCTATTTGTAAATAAATATATTCAAATTAGAATAACTGCTTGCTTGAAACCATAGGCGCACGGAATTCGAATATAGGGGGCAGAGACCTCATTAAATTAAGATCTTAAGAATAAGGACGCTGACAACAGCGAGCTCAAAAACAAATTTGTAGAAGCCATGGTTAAAGGAAACTTAAAAGCCCTATTTCGGGGATGCATTGCTCGAGGCCATCAAACCCACATTTACTTGTTTGTGTTGTAACGGCTTTGTTTCTTGGTAGAACTTGCATTGGAATAACAGGATTAACCTACGACAAACGTTCCAGCTCGAGCATGTGAAGAAATTCTGCATGTCTGAGCCCATTTCACACATGTCCGATCTCAACTGCCACGCAGAATTTATTAGCAAAATAGAAACCTTTGCGGTGGTTGGCACCGCAAAACGACGAGTGGTAAAATGAGAAGTTAACAAATTGGCAGTCACAAAGCTCGGTACCTTTTCAGTATTATGCATTGTTGAGATTTTTCGTTTATTTTATTTTATTCCTTTCATTTATTTATTGTTTTCATTTCTTTATGTTTCCCACCTCATACGCCACTGCTCAAAATTCATCTTACAATAATTTTGGTACTCTCATTTTTTTTTTCTTTTTTTTTATAAGAACGTCTACTTTTGGAGCTGAGGCTGAACTTTCTTTTTTTTGCGATTTGAGGCTGAAAACGTTCTTAAGATGTTCTTAAATTTGCATGATATACAATATTTAATAAATCAATGTAGATGTGACCAGGAAACCTATCAACTACCTTGATACTACTTTGTATCACTTGATGGCATTAATGGTGTGGATTTAAGTTATTTTGGAACAGTTATAAGTAAGAACTGCTGAATATTACAAACCGAGAGATGTGCCTCATGAAGTAAGAAAACCACTGTTAATGTTATACAAAACGTGCCCTTAAGTATTTCGGTGAGCTTCCTTTTTTTGTTATCTTTATTTTATTCTTGTCATTTAATATACAGATGAGCAAAATAATGTTCTTATTCGACCCTCAGCCTGAGGAATGTTGTCAATACGTTCTTAAAAGTTTGGTTAATCTCAGCCTTTCCGTTCTAATAAAAAAGGCTCTTATAAAAAGAGTATAATACGAGATCTTTTCCATTAATTTTTCCTAGTTTGTCGTCTGGCCAAAGCAATAGGCGTCGCGTGGTCAAGAAAGTACCAATGAAGGACATAACAGATAAAGACTTGGAATGGATTCAAAAAGTGTAAGTAACACATCAAGCCTGGCGAGGGAAAACGTGAATTTAGTATTACTGAAAACAAGTTCTTAAACACATATAATTCTCAATTACAAGTCGGCAAAACACGTATAAACATAAACAACCAGCGTATACTAGAGAAGAAAATATAAATATATTTTAATCATCACGAACAAAAGTGGGCGGAAAACCAAACATAGCGGAAGAAAAATAAACAAAAACAAAATAAGCAAACGCAAATCTTTAGCGTTAGACTCATAAGTTATAACCGTATTCCATGCATCATTGCTAAATGAACATATTAAAGAAAGAATTAGTTAATAATTCTAATTTTACTATGAGCATGTCATGATTTTCGTTACGAAGGCATGCCCATTTTGTTTAGAAGGCGCATATGGCACGGACTTTGTTCGTGTAATTATGCGATAATCAAAGCATTTGTTTGGGAAAATGATTCCACACAACAATTCAAAGATTGCAGACTTCTCCAGTCCTCCAAACTCTAATACGGGAGTACATAAGCGACAGAACACAAATTCACGATTTGAACACTTGGCTTGAAAAAGTAAAAAATATTCTCATCACAACCGCTAAACAATGTTCAAAAATTAAATTGACTTAAAACAAAAGCGTTTCAAGTCATCTTCAAATAAGAGATGGTTTGATAGGGAATGTCGCTTTGAAAGACAAGAATTAAGACAATTATCGAACCAAAAGCACAGAGATCCCATGTTATGAACGCGAATATCTCGTTTGGTATAGTATTCATAGTCGCCTGCTATGGTGCAGTTTCAAGGTAAATTTTCTTTCGCGTAGTCAAAATATTCCTTGTTTTTAGTAGGTAGCTTCCAACATGTCGTTTTGACAACTAACTCTTCGATTTTTAAGGCCAGTACTATTTTTTATGTCATTTAATATACAGATGAGCAAAATATCGTTCTTAATCGACCCTAAGCCTGAGGAATGTTCTCAATACGTTCTTAAAATTTTGGTTAATCTCGGCCTTTCCGTTCTAATAAAAAAGGTTCTTATAAAAAAGAGTATAATACAAGATCTTTTTCATTAATTTTTTTCCTAGTTTGCCTTCTGGCCAGGAAGATAAGCGTCGCGCGGTCAAGAACATACCGATGATGAACATATCAGATATAATCAAGGAAGTGAATCAAGAAATAGCTGAATGGTAAGTAACACATCAGGCCTGGCGAGCCACGACGTGAATTTAGTATTACTGAAACCAAGTTTTTTAACTCATATAATCCTCAATTACAAATCGGCAAAACACGTATAAACATAAACAACCAGCGTATACTTGAGAAGAAAATATAAGTATACTTTAATCATCACAAACAAAAGTGGGCGGAAAACCAAACATAGCCAAAGAAAAATAAATTATGCGATAATCAAAGCATTTGTTTGGGAAAATGATTCCACACAATAATTCAAAGATTGCAGACGTTCTCCAGTCCTCCAAACTCTAATACGGGAGTACATAAGCGACAGAACACAAATTCAGGACGTGAACACTTGGCTTGAAAAAGTAAAAAATATTCTCATCACAACTGCTATTTTTGTAATTCTATTAAAACTAATTCTGAAATAGCTATTTGCAAATAAATATCTTCAAATTAGAATAACTGCTTGCTTGAAACCATAGGCGCGCGGAATTCGAATATAGGGGGCGGAGACCTCATTAAATTAAGATCTTAAGAATAAGGACGCCGGGAACAGCGAGCTCGAAAACAAATTTGTAGAAGCCATGGTTAAAAGGAAACTTAAAAGCCCTATTTCGGGGATGCATTGCTCAAGGCTCTCAAACCCACACTTACTTGTTTGTGTTGTAAGGTTAACCTGCGACAAACGTTCCAGCTCGAGCATGTGAAGAAATTCTGCATGTCTGAGCCCATTTCCTACATTTCCGATCTCAACTGCCACGCAGAATTTACAAGCAAAATAGAAACCTTTGTGGTGATTTGCACAGCAAAACGATAAATGGTAAAATGAGAAGTTAACAAATTGGCAGTCACGAAGCTCGGCACCTTTTCAGTATTATGCATTGTTCAGATTTGTTGTCGATTTTATTTTATTTACTTCATTTATTTATTGTTTTCATTTGTTTCTGTTTCCCACCTCATACGCCACTGCTCAAAAACTAATCTTACCATAATTTTGATACTCTCTTAAACTTCCTTTTTTTTTTTTTTTTTTAATAAGAACTTCTCTTTTTGGAGCTGAGGCTGAACGTTCTTTTTTTGCGATTTGAGGCTGAAAACGTTCTTAAGATGTTCTTAAATTTGCATGATATATAGTATTTAATAAATCAATGTGGATGTGACCAGAGAAACCTATCAATACCTTGATAATACTTTGTATCACTTGATGACTTTAATGGTGTGGATTTAAGTTATTTTGGAACAGTTATAAGTAAGAACTGCTGATTATTACAAACCGAGAGATGTGCCTCATGAAGTAAGAAAACCACTGTTAATGTTATACAAAACGTGCCCTTAAGTATTTCGGTGAGCTTCCCTTTTTTGTTATCTTTATTTCATGCTTGTCATTTAATATACAGATGAGCAAAATAATGTTCTTATTCGACCCTCAGCC